CATCTCCAACACGTCCCAACATAGGAGCGGCACCACAGCACGCCAAAAGTACTCTCCTGATCGACAATACTCGGGAAGATTCTCCATCACATCTAGAGTATACGGCTCCCAAACAAACTGTTGGGAAAAATAACAAACTATTAGCCATAAAATGAATATAACACTTGCTATAAAACATATATAGAGCTGATAAGTTATACATGTTCATCAACAAGGTTATCTAGCTGGTCCCGAAATAATGGCAACACGTATTGCGTTGTATGTGTCCAACTAAGCTGAACGTTCCATTTACATGCATGTGGCGGACCAGGGAGATCATTGGAGAATCTAATAGCACCCTCTCTTGCCTGACGTCTGTCTGGATGAACCATCTTCAGTCTCTCCCATGCCCATACCTAAGTATATCAAAAATAAATAATAAAATTAATTTTATATTAAAATGAAAATATAAATAATCATATAAGGAAATACATGCCTGTAGAAGTGGTATGAAGCCACATAACTCATTGTTTTTTGGCCGAGTAGCTCTACACAATGCACGGTACAAGCACGCCAACACAGCACTACCCCAACTATACGTACCAATCTGCGTGATGTCATCGAGCAGCGTCAAGTACATTAACTTAACCTTGTTTCCTGATGTGTCAGGAAACAGTATACCCCCGATCATCCATAACATATAGCACCTAGCCCTCTGATGTACAACTACCTCATCTGCATCATCATCTAGCAAAGGCAATTGCTCCATGTATGTAGCTAGTGCACTAATCTCAAGCCTACTACCAAATAAACAATAACTATGTGGTCTAAAACCAAGCAACGCGTCGCACATATTCTGCCACTCTTCGGTCTTTCTTGTACTATCAATGCCCAATACTAGCCTTCCCTCTACTGGCAATCCATACAAAATAGCTACATCCTGTAGCGTAATAGTGGCTTCCCCAACTCTTAGGTGAAAAGTATGCGTCTCCGGACGCCATCTCTCAACAAGAGAAGTAATAAAAGCATGGTCTAATTGTATACGTCCTACTCGATAGACCCCGTAAAATCCTGCATCAATTAATATTTGCAGGACACGTCGATGAATGGGACGATCATGAACCAAATTCCAAAAATTACCATCTGACCGTCTACATAAAATAGGCTTTTCCACCTCACCATTCCATACGTCCTTCGACCTGTGATGGTTTTGTCTTGTCAGTACGCTATGGTCTAACGACCCAGGATGTAGCTGTGTCAACCTCTGATCCTCCATGTGACTGAACCTATATATATATAAAAAAAAAATAATCGCGTTAGGTTACTTTTCAAACATGCATCAATAAATCAATAAAGTTATACTGATAAATCATGTCGACCAACGAACCATCAGTCAATGACCAATAGACATATACCAAAACCTACCATGATCTACTCTATATAAAGGGAACAACATCCTCATTTGTTCAAAGTTTAAACTACCCATCCCTCTCATTCAAATTAATTGAGTTTCTAGTTAAAAATTTAACCATGCCAAAAAAACATTTTTTTCATTGCACAGTTTAGCAAAATAACATAAGGGAGAAGGTAGTTCGAGGAACCCTCAAGGAAGGAGTGAAATTTAAACACGATTGAGCCTTATCTCGAACCTAACATGCTTGGTTGCTATTTGGACATTGTCGGTGATAAATGGTACGATAACCTTTACTTTTTTTCAGAACCAACCAATATCTTTCAATCAATCCCTCGAAATCACGGGTCATATTATAGAGGGTGAGGTACACTCTTGGAAACCTAAAGGGATACGTATATGCCTATATGGGGAGAAACTCTGAAGTGGGTTGAGTTATACTCTAAGCGGTCCGCCTAGGAAGTGTTATGTCGATGGAACAGTCTTCCAGTTCTGCAAGCTATATCACCCACATACCAAGCAAATCATTTTCTAGATAGAGGAGCAGTAATTCAACTTTTGTCTAAAGGAATTCTTGAAATGGAAAAGTCAGTTTCATGCATTGGAAGACATTAAGTTTTGGAAAGGAGATGAAGAAGAGTATTGGGATCTCTTGGAGAATGAAAAATTGCATTGCATGAAGGACTTCCAAAGCATTTGCCAGAAACATTAGATTATTATTCAACTATTGGGGAGCCATATTGCAGTCAGAATAAAGCGAGCAATTATCTCAACGATAGACAGGAGATTAGAGAGCTTGAGGAGAACCTTTAACTTAATTATGACGATTATGGTTGGGGTCAAAATCCACCAGAAGAAAAAGAGGAGGAAAAGGAGAAAGAGGAAGAAGAAGACGAAATGTAAGTGGTGCTTGATAGCGAAGAGGATGATTAGCATATTGTACTAGAATTATGATGTGGTGCCTTAAGCTTCTTTTTTTTATAACCGTGGTGTGCGGGCCAGCTTGCGTGCACCTCGACTAATTCCACGGGATACCTGCCACCTCACACCAGCAACAAGTACTAGGTAACTCTATCCACCAAGGCTTGAATACAACAACAACAACAACCCAGTATAATTCCACTAGTGGGGTCTGGGGAGGGTAGTGTGTACGCAGACCTTACCTCTACCCTGGGGTAGAGAGGCCAGGGTAAAGGCTGTTTCCGATAGACCCTCGGCTCCCTCCCTCCAAGAACTCCCCACCTTGCTCTTGGGGTGACTCGAACTCACAACCTCTTGGTTGGAAGTGGAAGGTGCTTACCACTAGAGCAACCCACTCTTGTCCCACCAAGGCTTGAATAGATGGGAAGAAATCACCTAGTATTTGCCTCCGCTGGGATTTGAACCTGACCTCATAGTTCTCACCCACTTCATTGACCACTAGGTCACACCCTTGGATGCAATGTGGTGCCTTAAGCTATTATCTTGTTTCTTTAAATTTCCGTACTTGTTATGAATAAAATTTGTACCTTTGCAAATTATCATGCTGAACTGTACGAACATTTTCAAAATCAAACAGCCAGCAATTCTCCGAAAACTAACTATTTAATTCATTTATCTTTGATAGGTTTTTGATAAGTTAAACACTAACAGAATGTCTTCAGCAGATTCAGTTTTTTAAAAAAAAAAAACTTACATTCAGTTTAGTGAAACACTTTATGCTCTCAATACATCTAAATATGCATTTTATCCGGAAAAGTGTTGGCATTCTTTGGGGGAAAAAACAAGCAGATGAAGGGGAATTGAGCAAGCATTAGTCCGAGATAAGTACAAAAACTCATAACTGACATATATACTTAGGTTTCAGAAGATTCAAGGCAAATCTCAACAACTATGTGCTACTAAAATTATCCCCATATCTTTGATTACAAACTCAAAACCATAAAATCTGAACCACAATGCAAACTCGACACCACTAATTTACACCATAAAAACAGTAAATACTACTACATAAAAAGTCAACAGCATGCAATTCAGAATTAGATAGGAACAAAATTGGAAGGGCGAATTGGCACTGTTAGGGCTTTTATCTTGGACGAACCTGAAGCCTCGAGAATACAGGTACGTGCTTTTGCTGAAGAAGAAGAAGAAGAATAAGTCAGAGAGCGTGAAACCTGGCAATGAAGTTCCGTTCGTCGGAAGGGGGCGGCGGATGGTTTCACATAGCAGACCAAGGTGGAGGAGCACTTTATTTGTAAATTTCTAAAAGCTTGTACCCGATCTGCTCTCTTTTTTTCTTTGTAAGTTAAATTAAATGTTAAATTAGGCAAATGGCCAAAAACATGGGAATAAACACACTATATTCGGTGTTGTCTAAGGTTATTCAATTTCTATATTAACTGTCTAAATTATACAAGTAATTCTTAAAGTTAACAAAAACAATAAAAGAGAAGTAGAATAGTTGTTTCGCTAAAATTAAAGTAAACTAGTTTTAAAGTACGCGTATTTTGCTTGAAACTCGTCTCAACTACAACACAATTTTAAAAGTCACATACATTACTAAATAATATGTCTGAATTATAAAATAAAAATTAAAGTAAAATTATAAGTTCTTGAGAATGATGAATGCTTATCATATTTAGCTAACTCGATAAAAGAAGAAGTACATATATATATATATATATAGAAAGAGAGATTAATATATAGATAAATAGATAAAACTTAATATAATCTAGCATTAGAGTACGTACATTGTACTTGAACTTATAGTAATGAGTATAAAATTATAAAGTTAGATAAATAATTTTAAACAATGTGTTTGAGATAAAAAATAAAATAAAAAATAAGTTCATGAAAATAATGAATATAAGTCTAATATGTTTGACTCAAATAGATCAAGTAGAAATATCATCTCCTTTATTTTTCAATTGACTTCTTAATACGAAAATCAAACTATTTAATTTTCGCCTTAATATGTCAGTTTGTTAAATTTTTTAAATTTATAAAATATAGGTATTAAAGAAAGAATAGTTAATAAATAAAAGTAATATGCATTATACTTTTTTTGTAACAAATTGATATATGTTATTCTAATTGATTTTAAAATTCTAAAAAAATTAAAATTTCTAACATAGGAAATTAACAAATATTTTATAATTTTATTTGATTTCAAAGTGTGAACATTTTAATACATTACAACAATATTGTTCCTACGAATTGTCATGTATTGTAATATTAATATTTTTAATTGTGATGAAAATTTAATTGTAAAATATTACTATAGAGAAAAAAGAAAGGATGATGGCAATACAATTACTTAATTTGTGTTAATCTAAAATATTTATTGTGTATTTTATTTTTAGTTTTGAAATTGAACAAACGGAAGTCAAAGCGCGAAGCGAACACATTCAAAGACTAATCTTACTCTTCCTTTTCTTTTTAAAAATTGAAAATTACTTTTCCTTTTCAAATCTATTATATTACACACAATTCAAATAAGGAAGGCTTTGGTACACAAAATATAGTTGATTTTGAATAACTAAATATTAGGACAATAATTAAATAACTATTCCTAAATATTAGGAAAATAATTAAAATGACTTTGTCCCGTGTATATTTTTTTTTAAAGGGTAAAAAAGACGAACGACATTTTGCTAAGGGCCTTCGTGCTTTTAATATAATATAGATTATACTAGAAAAAACATTATCAAATGAAGCAATATTTATATATGACATTAGGAACTTTCTAGCTCATTTTAAAAAAAAAAATAGATACCAATAAGTATATACTGTGTTCGAGAATTTTGGACTTAAAAATGATGAGCAGTTTTTTGTGATAAATATAAAGAATTAAAATATAGCAATTATTAGAGAAAAATAAGAATCTGAAAAACTTAAGTTATATGTCAATTTAGGTACATTTGAGGCCTTGATATTTAGAAAAAAAAGTACTACCTTGTTGTTGCGGGTCAACAAAAGTAAGTAGTCTAGTATTATTATTTTTTTATAATAAGTAAGTAGTCTAGTATTATATCTATTTAATTTACATAGAATACAACCCTTTAAAAACTTATTTATAATCCCTATAACTGTTTTTACAAAATTATCTTTAGTACAACTTATTTTAAAATCCTATCTTTTTAATTAAATTATATACAACTTTTCATCGCCTAAAATCTCTCTTGAGATTCTCTCCACTTAAAAGTTATCTTTTTATGATTCTCCCTCACCTAACATATCAATCAATATCAATTTTCACCCCCAATTTCTCTCTCTTTGAACCCTATACATCATCCAAAAATAATCTAAGGCTTACGAAATTTTCAGCGGAAATGTGTTTGCTTCCCCCGTTTTTTTTATAATATATTATTTTATATTACATATACATATATTATGTTATTGTATATTTTAATAATATATATTTTATTATATACATTTAATAATATATACATTATATTTGTTTCCCTCAAATTTGCTTCTTCTTTATTTCCCCANTATATATATATATATATATTTTCTTTGGATTTTTCTTTGGCTGAGGATTCCTTTAAAGTATTCAAAAATTTTGGGTCCTCTTTATTTGATTATTCACATTCACACACATAGAAAGTGATGAGATCATTTGATATATCAATGTGAGATAGTGCTATAGTGGTCATCAATAATTAACAATATGGAAAAAATTTAGGGGCTAATTATGAGATATGTTTTAAAATGGTATTCCCCTTTAATAGGGACTCCATACATTTGTTGTAGAATATGTAATTCTATTATTAGTTGTAGATTATGAAATATTTTATAAAATCGTAAGTAATAATGAAAATTTCCCTTAATTTAATTCAATGACTTTCATAGTATCAATGATGATAAATAATTCTTCACCAAAT